TGGTGCAAAGGCAGACAGTGAGCCCGACGCTCACGGTGGTTTATGTATCCTGGCAAGTTAAGGGTCAGATTCCTGAAGCGTTCCCCCACACAACCCTTCAAACGCCATGTTTGCAGTCAGCTAACTGGGCCCAAAGGCTTAACCTCTGATGCTCCAGGGACAGCAGGAGATGACCGCACCAGGTCTGCTGGAGGAGAGTACGCATCGGAAAGATCTGTGGCAGACAGGAAGGGTTTTTTTTTTTAAAAAATGCGTTATTGCCCTCTTGTTTCCAAAATTCTGCCAGGATATGTGAAAGAAAGGAGTTTAAAAAAAAAAAAAAAAAAAGTGCTTCTCCCAACGGTACCGGCAAGTAAAAAACTAAAAAAAACTACAAGAAAAAAAAAAAAAACACGAAAAAAAATCCAGTTGATTATTTCTTTTCCTCTTCGCAAACCTATGTGAAGGGAGAACATGAAGGAGAAAGTAAAAGCGGATGTGCCGAGGAAGGAGGGTTCTAAAAATGAAGAAGGGGACGTCCCAGGAATTTCTGACGTTGAAAGCCAAAAACAGAGGAGACGTTCACAGGAAGTGCGTGTTAGTTAGAAAGGAGCCTGTCTTTGAGCGCTGCTTTTCTCATTCTCAGAAATAATCAAAGAGGAGATGGACCCTTGGTCTAATAAAAGATGTCATCATTTTTATTACAAGATTATACCTAATAATACGAACGTGAAGGGAGACTTTACCAGGATGGCAAAAGCCAAGGGCATGTGGGAAGTACGTTATGTGGGGGCCTTGAGTTTTGGCTACTATTTCTGTGGAAGGGTCGATCACTGCTTAAAATACCCTTTCTTAAATAAATAAACACATTCTTACATGAATCTGAAAAAAGAGAATTAAAACCCGAATTGTTTATGAGGCCGGGTATGGCAGGATGAATTCTTCGTACACAGAGCTGTTAGAGTGACATCTGTTTAGACAGCGTATTACCCGTGGGAGTGTGCTCCGGGGTATGAAGTATTTTCTCATGAAGTTAAGCCAGAGGAAGTTTTTATTTAAAAAAAAAAAAGGAAAGAATAAGAGGATACTCACATGGATATTTAATTCTACGTTTTTCCACTGACAGAATCGAGTGAACTTGTCACTAAAAAAGAATAGAAACAGTCACTGAAAATTTGCATATCACATGAATTGGATTTGAAGAGCAATGTTAAAGGACAGACGAGGATGTTACCACTTGTGTTGCTTCTCAACCAGAGGTACGTTTCCTTCCTTATCTTTTCACAAAGACTTCACCGGTCTTTGTGGCTTTATTTTATGATTCAGGTGCATGATGTCATATTTCCCTTAAATTGTGATGATTGTTATGGTCCCATCAATCTGAATCAGCACCATCCAAGAGAAGGCCTAACGTGAGCCCCATATGTACTTTCATGTTGATAACGTATTTTATTTAACCCCAGGATAGAGAAAAAAATTATCATTTCAACATGTGTGTGATCGGTACAAAATTAGTAATGAGACCCTCTACATTGTTGTTTTTATATTAAGTCGTGAAACCCAGTGTGTATTTTGCACTGAGAGCCCATCTCGATTCACACTCAGTCATTTCAAGGGCTCAAGAGCTCCATGTGGCCAGTGGCTCCCATACTGGACCACGCAGCTCTAAATGACAAAATATTCGGGAGTGCCTGGAGGGCTCAGTCGGTGAAGTGTCTGCCTTCGGCTCAGGTCATGATCCCGGGGTCCTGGGATCGAGCCCCACATCGGGCTCCCTGCTCAGCGGGAAGCCTGCTTCTCCCTCTGCCTCTGCCACTCCCCCTGCTTGTGTTCCCTCTCTTGCTATCTCTTTCTCTGTCAAATAAATAAAATCTTTAAAAATAAATAAATAAATGACAAAATATTTATAAATAATGGTAATAGCAGCAAACACTCAGCTGGTGCTTTCCATGGGCCAGACCCTGTTCATTTCCCCCTCCAGCAACAAGATGAGCAGATCTGACGACCAGGAATGATGATGCCCATTCTGCAGCAGAGGAGACCAGGGCCTGGCCAAGGTCACACAGTGAGAGAAGGAGTGGGGATGGATCTGAACCCGGACCAAGCAACGCTGCTCAGACACAAATGCTGTAGGAGAAAAAGCCCTTAGACTAGAATCACAAGACACGATAAGTCCCACTGAGCGGATTTGTTCCCACAATTTACTCAGCTTCTTGATGAGTACTTTTTTTTCCCCTCTATCTAGAAAAATATCTATCCCCACAGCTTATTTAATAAAGTCATTATTTTCATTATGGTTATTAATGAGCAACACTGTCTGTAGTGTTTGTTTTAAAACATTTTTTCAAAAGAAATGCTTTCTAGATTGAATACTCTTCAAAGGCAAAGAATATTCTTGGTGACTGCTGGATTTCACCTAGCCCCTGGCACAATTCCTTACATGGGCACAGTATCCAGGGTTCTATGAATGAATGAATGAATGAATGAATGAATGAATGAATGAATGAAAAGGAAAGGAAGAAGGAGAGAGAGGGAGAGAGTACTATGAAATACATGGTCCAGGAATTACTGGCATTCTAACAGAATGCATTAAGGCATCTAAATATCCCAGTTGCCTGGGGGGAGTGGTTCATTTTATATGCCATCTAAGACAAATGTAGTGATCCAAAGGGGCATGTATACCCCAATGTTTATAGCAGCAATGTCCACAACAGCCAAACTATGGAAAGAGCCTAGATGTCCATCAACAGATGAATGGATAAAGAAGATGTGGGGTGTGTGTGTGTGTGTGTGTGATGGACTATTATGCAGCCATCAAAAAAACCGAACTCTTGCCATTTGCAACGACGTGGATGGAACTAGAGGATATTATGCTAAGTGAAATAAGTCAATCAGAGAACGACAAGTATCATATGATCTCATTGATATGAGGAATCTGAGAAACAAGACAGAGGATCACAGGGGAAGGGAGGGAAAAATGAAACAAGATGAAACCAGAGAGGGAGACAAACCATAAGAGACTCTAAATCCCAGGAAACAGACTGAGGGTTGCCGGAGGGGAGGGGGGTGGGAGGGATGGGGTGGCTGGGTGATGGACACTGGGGAGGGTATGTACTATGGTGAGCGCTGTGAATTGTGTAAGACTGATGAATCACAGATCTGTACCCCTGAAACAAATAATACATTATATGGTAATAAAAAATAAAAAAAAATTATATGCCATCTAAGGATCTTTTAAAAATATTTCTGAGGCTAATATAGTCACGTTGAAAATCAAAAGCAGAACCCTGTAATTATGTAGCAACTTTTGTCAATGAATTGAAAATGACGTTTACAGAGTGTTTCATTGATCTCCCTATCATCTCTGTGAGGTTGGTAAAATAAAATTATATTTTGAGCATTTCTGAGAGTTATTTCAAAGGTTTTTCTTGTTTGTTTGTTTGTTTTTTAAGTATGATGAGTGCAAAAGGCAAAACCACACTGGGGTGTTCTCTGTACTTACAAATCTATGACTGTCACTTTGAAATTCACTTGGTGTGTTGGGCAAGCTCATCCTCCCTTTCCTCCCGGATTCTGGAGCTCAGAGCCGGCAACAGGGGGCCAGTGAGCTGGCACGTTTTACAGACTTGCAGACTTGGCTGGGGAGGACTAACAACCGCGGGGAGAGAACTGTCCTGATGACTGAGAGAGAGTCAAGAGAACCAAATCCCAACACATACCCTGCCTCAAACGAACATCCCCCCAACACACAAAGGACACCTCCAAACACACATTTTGCCCATGAAGTACAGGTTTTCTGTAGCCAGTTCTTCTTTAGAAGTAGAGATGGCCCTGGGGTGTTCAGGCTCAGTCATGTATCCATGGAGGTTCCTTGAGTGCTATTTCTGGTCAATGCCTAATTACTAGAATGGGCACTTCTTCACAGAAGAGGGACTGGGGCTGAGAACAGAGCAGAGCCTGGGCAACATAGGGCTCCTGACAGCCAGTGCCCTTGCAGATGATGTACAGCTACCCCAGAGGGAAAGTCAGAGGTTAATGATATAAAAACGCCAGGGATGCGGTGAGGGTGGGGTAGAGTAAGCACTTTTAACCTCTGTCTGTGACTCGGGCTTTAGATTGCTGGGCAAGTGAAGTTCACTGCCTCATCCAGAAGAGGGAAAGCCTCCTTCCCAGATTCAGGCCAGCCTGGAACTTAGTTAAGCCCTGTGCTCCTGCTGGCCTCAAGTGAAGGCAGAGATGAGGCCTGGCTGAAGATTTCCCCTTTATTATCAGACTGAGAAATCACCTTACCCGCAAGGCCCTCAGAGAGTGTGGCCAGTCCTGATGGGGCCAAAGGCTACAAAGTTCTATTTGGGGAGTGTCCATGCTTTTCAAAACCCACGCTCAAAACTCTTGGTCTGACAATGGAGTTTTTAAGTTCTCATTTGAGAATGTATTGACACGAAAAGAACGCAAAACAGATAAAAATGAAGAAATCCGCTTTGAAAATAATTTACATAACATGGTGAATGGCTTCAGAAAATCCAGTGCACCTGCTTGCCTAACACGCAAACAGCTTGGATTTCTGGTGGCAGTAAGAGCAGAAGGCTCCCCTAGTGGGACTAAAGGACATGCAGGTGGACCAGGGGGCCAGTCAGCAAAGAAAAAGCTACCAGACCCCCTCCCCCTCCCCCCTGTAACTCCCATCCCCATCTCTCCCTAGAAGCTCGGCTGACCCCAAGAGGAGCTGGGAAAGGTCAGAATTCTGAACTAACGGCACTGGCGCCAGGGCAGGCCGGACCCCGCTGAAACACAGCCGGCCTACCCCCTTAACGCGAGCCACCGCTCTCTGGCAAAGTCTCCGCTCTGACTCAGAAAAGGGTAATAATCATTTGTATGCGTGTTAGTTTCCCAAAGTACTGACTCCACTCCAGGATAAAATTATCTCTTGAACTCTAGTGGCATCATAACACAACTGTTTTTTTTTTTTTTTTATTACTTTAGTTCTGTGAATAAGTGGAGGGAAAAACCGCAGAGAAGCAGCATTTGTTCTAACGGGGCAATTACTGAACAGCTGTGGGCTGCTCCAGCACCGAGACTCGATCATCACGGCGATTGTCTAGAAATTAGCCCAGTTTGCGGAGAAGAGCGCAGTCAGTGAGAAAGCAGATTCCGCTGAAGAGTGCATGATCTCAGAGGGATACTCAAAATCCCAGCGAATGGACTGCTGGTGGCCAGAAAGGCGTATGGGCCGGCCGCCTTTACAGGCAACGCTGAACATGTTCAGGGTTTCGTATGACAAACATACACATATAGCTTGAGTAGCTCAAAGGGACACATTTATTAGGGATAGTAATAATATATGTGACCACGGACATCTGCCTAGAACCTCAAATTCTATTACATAAAGAATCAAGTGCAATCTAGTCCCACCTTGGGGGGCAGGATCTCAAAGAGCAAACAAATGAATTAGATAGGTTATAGAACCGTGCTTGCCTTAGCAAAGGTGTCCCAATAAGATACTCTTCATACTGTGGTTCCATAGTCTATTTAAACTTTAGACCATTTTGAAGCTAAAGAGCTACAGATTGAAAGAGACATCAAGATATGCAAATCCTAAATAATAAAGTACTGAGGTGACAGTCTAACATGAAGGCTGGCACATAGTAAACGCCTGGTAAGTACATTCATTGTCAAATGAACGAACTGATACCCATTTTAAGGACAGCGTTCATTGGGTAAAATGAGGTACACCTATAGAACAGCCCTGGGCTATTCTATATATATATATATATACTATTATTTTAATATAACATTAGATGTCAAGTATATCTCAAAAAAATGTTATGTACATACATGAAGTTTCATACCTTTCCATAAATTTTTGGAAAATGTTGCCTCGAAGACTTTCACAAATTTCTTCTATGTAGGGCTGGAAGAGATGGAAAAGAAATCCCACACTGCATAAATAGGAACCTAGAATACATACTGATGAGACTCGGATGACCTGCAGCTCCCACTCTTGCATTTGCCCAATTTTTAGTAACGGATTTACCACCGTGATTATTTAATAGTTATCTACAGCCCAACTGCATGCTCTGTGAAAATATGGACAGGTCCGCCCGTTTGCCCCTGCATCCCTATTGCCTGGCATGGTTCCTGCAAAGTCACAGACGCTTCCCAAGTGACCATGGTTGGTTTTCCAGGTGTATGACCCGTGCAGTCCCACAGGGCTCATGCTCAGAAGAGCCAGGGCTTGGTTTCATGTCCCTGCCTAACCCATCTTAAAATTCTGAATTTCTGAAACAAGGGGCCCCAAGTTTTTTAATGCTGTGCTGGGCCCTGGAAGTCATGTAGCACATTTTGTAAATGACTAAAAGTGTTGATAATCAGCATTGATACTGAGTTTTAAAGACTAAAAGCTAATGGATCCATGGAGTAAATTTTTTTTAATTAGCTACTTTACTTCTGAACTTTCTACCTCTTGGAATCACAGAGCTAAAGGTAACTAACCATGGGGAAGAGTTAATCCCTCTCCTCATTTTGTACATGAGGCTGCGGCACTGTGGACAGGTGCTTTCCCAAGGTCTCTGAGCACATTCGTGGCTAGACCAGGATGAAGGACTCCTGGCTCACTTGTGTGGTGCGCATCCCTTTATGGAAAACAGTGTGCAGGTGACTCTTGTACCACATAAGTCTGAACCACACAGGTCCACTTACACGTTGATTTTTTTACATACAATACTAGAAATGTATTTTCCTTATAATTTTCTTAATGACATTTTCTTTTCTCTAGTTTACTTTATTATAAGAATACAGTATATAATACATATAACATATAAAATCTGTGTTAATCGACGGTTTATGTTATCGGTAAGGCTCCGGTCAACAGAAGGCTATTAGCAAAGTTTGGAGGCAGGAGCCAGAAGTTATACGTGGATTTTTGACTGCATGGGGGTCAGTGCCCTAATCCCTGTGCTCTTCAAGGGTCAACTGCATTTATTTTGAAATAATTTTGTCTTACCTGGAAAAGAGTTGATGTCACTTGTTTCTTGGATAGGTGACTCTGTACATGCTCAACAGCTTGCTTTGAGAATGGCTTTTCAAAAAAAAATTTAAAAAAACAGTATTTTTTTCCCACAAACCTCTGTACATCACACAATACTACAGCATATAATTTAACACAATTACTAAGCAGGAAGCTGTGGTAATTATATTGACATGCATTCTTTAAAAATCAGCTGGATATCTGTGGGCAATAATGGATACTTGCTCCTCCGAGCTTCCGCAGTTCTTAGCCACCATGTCGAGAAGGATGATGAGCACGGGGGCACCTGACTGACGTAACCTAACCCCACAAGAGTTTAAGACTACTGTGATTAAAAAAAAAAAAAAGTGTAAAGAATCTTATTATCACCTTACTAAATGTATACATCCCTCAATTAGTTAATGACGGGGTCCTGAAACTGTAAAAATTTCCACTATATAAGAGAAAACAAATGCATGAAAATCCATGTAAGAATTGAAAGCCAGGGTGGTAGGAGGCTGTACGTTAAGGAAAGTCTTGCTGTGACCACAGCAGAGGGGAGCTAGCTCTAAAAAAACAGTTCCAATAAGAACTACACACTCTCTTCTCCCTCCAAACTTCAAATTATGTCTTCTTTAAGAATGCACCACAAGAGGAAAAGCTGAAAACGCCCATCATACTGCCAAAAACCCTCTAAACTGCCGAGCGACGTGAAAACCAAGTTTCAGTGGCATCCCCACGGAACACCTGGCATTTTCCAAGGCTCAACCACCAGGACTGGCTCAGGAATTCTGTCTACTACAAGTGAGGTGAGGCCAACAAAGAAATGCAGGGCGCAAGAGGTGCACCAGCTACAGCTACTCAAGTGGCAGCAAGAACCGTGAATGACACAGTAAATGCAGAAGCACTACAATAAATCATTATCGTGGCCAGGGCTGTCTGCTCGAACTCCCCTCAATGACAGCAATGTCGTGTATCCGCGCTGGTCAATACCGGAGCCACCAGCCACCTGCAGCTCTCAGGCACTCGAAATGCAACTCGAGAGGCCTTGGGGAGTGAAATGCTTAACTCCACTGGATTTTAATTAATTTAACCTGATATCTAAACAGCCACATGGGGCCAGTGGCTTCTGTATTGGACATGGCAGCGAGGACAGTGAGGCCACTCCTTCAGAAAACTCTCAGAGACAGTATGTGGTGAATTTTTATCACTAATTCTTCCATGCACTCCTGGCAGAATAATTTCCTAGGAACCTAGTTTATCCTAATGACTGAATGGATTATGTGATTTACAGGGGGAAAAACATATTTCCACCATTATTTAACTATTAACAAAATTAACATAAGAATTATTACTCTTCCTCATTAATCCAAAGAAACCATTTAAGATTTCTATTGATCAACATTTGATTAGCCTAATTATTTAAAGTACAGCCAAATTAACAATAATAAAGCTGAATTTCTTTTAGAAAGTCTGGAATTGAGACCAGCCTTTTTTTCCACTGATCTGCATGAGTTATCAATTTTGTTTTCATCATTTTTTCTTTGGCCGTGAAAGAATCCGCTTTTGGAAATATCCTTGCAGTAGATGGAGCATCAGCTTTGTGTCTGCATTACCAGCAACCAAATGACAGAAGAGAAGACATGGGTCCCGTCCTGGGGGAGTACTGTTTGATTTTTTAAGCTTCTTCCTCCTATTTTACTTTCTAGAAACACTGAAAGCTGTCTCCGAGCCAAACTAAAGGCACGGAACAGAAAGAAATACTTACATGTGAGCAAGACAGCAGCTCCTTCATGATATAAGTGTCATAAATTTGGCGGCTTCTGCAAAGGCGGTCTTCCTCATTCTCAAGCTTCTCATATTCTTTTATCTAGATTTTTCAAAGTTACCGTTGTTAGGTATGTCTTCCCAGAAAACTCACTTTATTAAAAGATATTACTCGCCTGGGCAAAAAACCACTTCCACAGGAGATTAAGCAAATTGCTAAACCGGCTACTCCACAGGAAACAACCATTTCTAATGTTGGAATAATGAAGTTGGGATAATTTAAATGCAACTTGAAACATACAAATGGGTTTTTTCCTATGATGAACCTCGTCACTTAAATTTAGGAGCACAATATTAGGAAACAAATACTACCATGGTTACAATTATCTTACAGTACAACAGCCAGGGGCTATTTGTCCTTTGCCAAGCCTCCTCTCCAGAGCGAATCCCATTTAAATCTGGCTGTAATTCAGTTCTAAGAGTTATGATGGGGATTGTTCTCATTCAACTACAACATTACAAAACAGAAGAAAAGGGGCGCCTGGGTGGCTCAGTCATTGAGCGTCTGCCTTCGGCTCAGGTCATGACCCCAGGGTCCTGGGATCGAGCCCCACATCGGGCTCCCTGCTCGGCAGGAAGCCTGCTTCTCCCTCTCCCACTCCCCCTGCTTGTGTTCCCTCTCTCGCTGTGTCTCTCTCTGTCAAAAACATAAAATTTTTTTAAAAAAAAAAAAAGAAGAAGAAAATGTATATATAGTCAAGATTCCTGCAAAGAGATTTTTTAAAAAATCAGTTGAATATTTTAGAAAGGCATCCACCCAGAGATGAAAGCACTGGTTTTTCAGGTTGGAACCTCACTGCACAATAAAGTATTAATAAACAGGTTACTTTAAAGAGCGTATTTTGCTAACTTAGGGAAGCCAGTTGGAACAGTGTTAAGATAGGCCAAATAATAAAAATGTGCTTTAGAAATACTTGCCATATATAGAACTGGCCCCAACCTTCTAATCTGATAACAGAAGCTCCTAGATCAGAGAAATCGCTTTTATTTATTTACAGAAGTACTTGTAATCCAAAAGACAAGAGAATGAGGACACAAATGAAATACAGGGTTAGCAGGAAGACTGCAGCAAGGATCTTCAATATGATGACTAATTACTATGTATGACTTACTTTTGGGAACAAAGCGTTTTCAACAGATAGACAAATGGTGACATTGACTTTCGTAATATCTGAGTATTCTTTATTCTGGGATGATAAAACAGAAATAAAAGTTACCTTTTTATAGTAAGGCTGGGTTTGATAGTTTTGAAATCAAAACCAGCAAATCCTATAAGAATTTCTGATAAAGAAGGGGCACAGTCGGCAGGGAGTGGAGTGTGTGAAATACTGAGGTCCCAGATGAGGGCCTGCTGGTTCACACAAGGAGAAATTACTGGGGCCATATTATTGTCCTGCATTATCATCAGCATTACAGTGAGATTCACAGGTCTGTAACTGCCAGGGCTTAGAACGGAGTCTTGTTGGAACAGACAACAAAGTGTGCCATGAAGGCAGGTGGACTGGGGTGGGTTACAGCCCATCCAACCAGGAAAGGCTGTTCTAAGGAGCAGCAATCCGGCAGTGTTGGCATCACCAAAGGACCCAGGCTTCACCCCTGAGTTAATTCAGGACAAGTCTAAAGAGTTCAAACACTATGCCAGACGCAAATATGGTAGCTGGGAAGCAACAGACGCCAGATACCAAAATCCGAAGTTGAGCCAGAAAATAAACAGAGGATCTGCCTTAGTTGATTTCTTTTGTTGCTTTAATTTTAGGTAGGTCCAAAGGTCAATGCAGAATTCTGGGATAAAACAGGTAGACTGTTAGTGAACCAAAGGAAACATTTCTGCCTAAACAAGTAAACAAACCCAAGAAATAATAAGCCTTCATGGAATTATTATCCTTGAAAACAAACATAATGCAACATAAGTCTGTGTTCCAGGGGGCCTAGAAAGCAAGTTGACACCTGTTTAAACAAATGCTGATAATACGGAAGTTTTCCACGAGCTGTAATAATCCAACCCCATGGAACATTCTAGTTTCTTGGGCAAATGATACTCTGAACCACAATACGAGCTTTACTAAGAGACTTCTGCCTCCTAAACTCCAACCTGAACAACAGCAAAGGTAACTCAGTAGACAAAGGAAGAGCCTAAAGTATCTAAGTGTCTGTGGCTATAATTCAAAATTTACTTCCTATTATCAGGAAGACCACTACTTAAAGAACATGCAGTCACCTATCAATCAGCTCTAGACAGAATGATCTTATTGTAGCCTGTGCATGGAAGATGCTACCTCTAATTTGGGCAGTTAGATTGACCAGGTCACCTGAGCAGGCAAAGGCCAGAGTTCAAGGTGAAAAGTCTCCCCTTGAGCAGAAAAGAAACATGGTCATCGACGATGAACATTCACTGGCGACACAGTGCCTTTCTGCTTGGGTGGTTACAAAGCTCACAGCTGAACATGTAGCCTGAATAAGCGGAACCCTAAGAGCAAGCACTTTTGATCCACGGCTGTCATATCTCCACTTTCTCACCACCATTGTAGGGAGATGGCCTTGTAAAGCCACCAGTGGCCTCTGCTTGCCCAATCAAGGGTCTCTCTTGTCTGTAGCTTCACTGATTCCCAGCAAGCATTCAACTCAGCTGTTCCTCCCACCTTCTTCTCTGACTTCTGTGATCTACACTCTCCAGCAGTCTGCCACACTCGTTCCTCTTCCAGTCTCCCTTGGCTTCTTCTTCCTCTGTTGGACTTCTAAATACTGAAGTGCCTCAGAACATGGTGCCAGGGTACCCCCTTTTCACCTGTTCTATTCCCCTCAGGTAAAACTACTCAGTCCCACAGTTTCAAATACCCGTTATATTCAGATATCTAAGTCGGGACCTCTAGTACTCACTTCTTCCCCTGAGCTCCAGAGTCTAAATATCTAACTACCTTTTTGCCATTTTCATATCCTCTCTACCCCTGCCAAGCATGCCCCTCCCCTAGCCTTCTTTATCATGAAAATGAGCAAAACCATCCTCCCAATTGCTTAAGCCAAAAAACGAATAATCATCCTTGATTCCCGCTCTTTTGCTCACACCCCTGCTTCTACCTCCCCCTACGTCCAATTAATCACCCAATCATATTGGCTTTACATTCAAACTATATCACAAACCCAGGTTCTGCTTTAGATAATAGCCAAATAACTGCCAAGGGAACAATCCTCCTGAGAAAACAACTGTAAATTCTGGACATATATAAAACCCAACTACTCTGGAGCACTAGCGAGTGACCAGAAGTACATACATAATGGGGAAGGCACATCCAACAGAAGCTGGAAAGTAAGAGAGGATATTCCTGAAAATAAAGAGTCAGGGAGGCGGAGCTCCAAAATTTTGTGTATAAACTCTGTCAACATCCCTGTTGGATTCCATAATGACATGTGAGCATGGCAAATCCAAAGCAGTCCAGCTAAGGCTAAAAGAACTGAACAAGATTCAGCTGCTACCCACTGTGTAAGAAGAGCTTTTGAAATTTGAGCAAGCCAAGTTAATTGCTAAAACAAAACCTCAATACCCTTTTTTTTTTTTTAAAGATTTTATTTATTTTTTTGACAGAGAGAGACACAGCAAGAGAGGGAACAAAAGCAGGGGGAGTGGGAAAGGGAGAGAGAGAAGCAGGCCTCCCACTGAGCAGGGAGCCCAATGCGGGGCTCCATCCCAGGACATTGGGATCATGACCTGAGCCGAAGGCAGACGCTTAATGACTGAGCCACCCAGGTGCCCCCTCAATACCCTTTGAAGAAGCATACAGAGTTTAGAGTATCTATAATGTATCAATCCCACTGTACAAGATACAATTTAAAATTATTCTACATATCAAGAAACAGGAAAATGTGGTCCACGTGCAAGAGAACAGACCATAAATGAAGACCATTCCAAGATGACTCTGATGTTGGAATTATCAGAAAAGGATTTAATGCAGCTATGAGAACTATACTTAAAGACCTAACAGAAAATATGCATGTAATGAAAAAAAAGCTAGGAAATAGCAGCAGAAACATATTAACTATGAGAAAAACCAAACAAATTTTAGAACTAACAAACACATCTGAAATAAAAAATTCAATGGATGGACATAATAGCAGAGTAGAGATGCCAAAAGAGTCAATGAATTTGAAGACAGATCCACAGAAACTTTCCCATCTAAAGAACAGAAAAAATATCTGGGGGAATAACTGAACAGGGCATCAGTGATATTTGGTATAATATCCAAAAATAAAACACACATGTAATTGGAGTCCCAGAAAGAGGAGAAATAGAGATTGAGGCAGAGAAAAATGCTTTAAGGATAATGGCCCAAATTTTACCAGATTTGATGAAAGATACAAATTTACAGATTTCAAGAAAGTCAGCAAACCCCACAAAGGATAAACACAGTATCTAAAATCACTCCACTAGGGGCACCTGGGTGGCTCAGTCAGTTGGGTGTCTGCCTTCGGCTCAGGTCAGGATCCCAGCGTCCTGGGATGGAGCTCCGCATCAGGCTCTGTGCTCAGCAGGGAGCCTGCTTTTCCCTCTCCCTCTGCCTGTCTGCCTAGTTGTGATCTCTCTCTCTCTCTCTGTCAAATAAATAAAATCTTAAAAAAATAAAATAAAATAAAATTACTCCACTAAAACACAGAGATTTTCAGAAATGGGGTGGGGGGTGAGCAAGACAATTTTATATTTGTCTCAAAGAAACAAATTTTATATATAAAAACACCGGCTGAAAGTAGAAAGGAAAAGATATATCATGAAAACAGTAAGCATAGGAGACTGAAAGCCTATAATAATATCCAGTGAAGTCATTTTCAAGACAAAGACTATGACAAGCAATGAAGAGGGACATTTCACATGAAAAGACATAACCATGATAAATGCATATGCACCTAATAACATAGCTTCAAAATACATTTTTTTAAAATGACAAGAAAAAGAAGAGACAATTCTACGATCAGAGTTGTAGATTTTATCACCTCTCAGCAATTGATAGAACAAAGAGGTCTAAAATCAGTAAAGACATGGAAGATCTATCACAT